TTTTTCGTTGTAACAAATGTTTCTCTTCCCAAAAATGTATTTATTAAAAAGTATTGTTATATTTTGTACAAATAGAAAACACAAATGAATTTAATTTGTTAACTTAGGTTTGGGAGCGGGTCCACGCCTCAACCACACCTCCAATCACCTGTCAAGGCTACATATACAGCTCCGCTCAGCCTGCCCCGCTTGTTTCGGATCGCTCGACACAAGACAGACAACGATCCACACTCAACAGCACACGCTTAACAGTACACTTGTTTCAGATCGCTCGACCCACCATTCCTTTCCCTTCATCCATTCATCCCTATACACATCCACTCATCCTCCTTTCCCTCTATCCCCCATCCCTGCTCCTCTCATCCCTTCATCCCTCATCCCATCATCCCCCATCCCCGCATTCCCTCATCCCTTCATCCCCTCTTGCGTCCCCCACTCATCCCTTCCTATTTAATCAGGGCACAGCTCTCTCATGTCTCATCTAGGTACCGTCTGGGGGGTCTTGAAATCTCAGGCAAAAACACTTCAGAGACGAAACCCCCACACTGAGTCTCTCTGCCTGGTCTTCTGTCCACCATCTCAGACCAGCCTATCAGACGACATCCTTCTTCCACCATCACCCTTGCCTTCTATCTGCACTAATCCGTCCACCATAATCCCTGCATTCCATATTTGCATGTTTCTCTAAATCACCATTGTTGTGGTGTGGTCCTTGCTAGTGAACTACATATTGTTTGTTTATCTTTATTTAAAACTAGTTTGGCCAACACTGGTGTTTTACCGGTAGGCATGCTATTTTTATGCCACATCATACCACATTACATGTCAGTTTATATCAAAATTGTACATTTTATTGAAATCCAATAAAAATCTGTTTCTAGACAAAACTGTGAATGTTTGTCTTTGACCAACTCAGTGAATTATGCGTGAAAAGTCTTGGACTCTTATGTTTTCTCGTCACACGGTAGCTGCATGAGCTCCACCAGCGCCGGAAAATGAGGCAAGCCAGTTGTCAGGTCACTGGACTGACATTAAATAGATATTTTGTTAATAATGTGACATTTAATAAAACATAACGTTATTACAGCGCAGTGATGTTGTGCTATAGTTTTAACACAGCCGTACCGTAACTTTAGTCCTGCTAGTGTTTACAGCTAACAGCTGATGAGAGTTGTTCTGGGTCCGCTCCATTTCAGTGCCCTGACAGGGTTCTACTGGGAGCCGAATGACCTCAGGGGTCGTCTCCTCTCCAAAACAAACAGTCAGCAGAATCCGGAGCAGATGTGGCCCATTCTGCATCCAGAACTGCCAAACTGCTGCGTTTATATCACATGTTCATTTCTTTGTTCCTCTCAAATTCAAAATTACTTTATTGGCATGAATGGGAACAACAATATTGCTGGAATTCTTTTAAGAATTTAGGGCCTTTATCCAGATTATTATTAAATTGGTCAAATTTTAATTTAATTCTTCAGTACATGCACACCAGCACACTTACCCAATTGGGTTTACTTCATGTCTATGAATTAGTGCATTTCTGCTTTTCTGCTTTTAGTCAGCATTACAGGGATGATTCATGAAATTTGTTAACAGTGTTCAAAGTTTGGATATAACAGATACCGAAGTGGGGGTAAAAATAAGATTCAAGTCAAAATGACCATCTCCTTAGTATCTGAATGGTCCAACTGGTTTGTGTCGAATCACTATCAGTATCACCACTAAACATTTGTGATTCAGTGCACATTAAGGCAACATTTTGAGACAAATAGTGCACATGTAGCATTACATGGCTGCAATCAGGTTCCAGTATCTGAAAAAAACATGGTAATGTAACATGTAGGCTGCCTTTAAGTCACATCATTGGGAATATAACAATTTCTATTAGAGGGCACATAAAAAAACAACTTCTAATTCTTACAAGCATCAGCTTTCATTAAAAGTGCTGAGGCAAAACAATGACATTTGAGTAATAAATTAGGTTTATTTATATAGTGTAACAATGTCAGAAATACAACACAAGAACAACTGGTGCATCTGTTCACATTGAAGTCAAACAAACAATCAATGAACGATCACTATCAGCTCTAACCCCAGTGAGAAAAACATGCGTTTCCTGTGACTGTTTTTAAAAAGAAGCTGCTTACTGTGGTGAAGAAAATGACAAAATCCAGGACATTTATTCATTTTGTCTCTTGAGATGTAAGGGACTTACAACAGCACCATAGTTTTCTTTCCACCACTACATTCATTTAGCACGCTATGTCATTAGGAAGCTCCTGCACGTCATTAACCCCCACATAACCGCTGCATGTACTGTTTGGCTGCAGAGGACTACAGAGAAGGACTACAGATACATATACATGTACAACAAATGCAGGTAGTGTTTGATACTCAAATCAGCTCCTCTACACTTCTAGCTGAGGTGAAGGCAGGCAGTCATGTCATGTCTACTAAAGTAAATGCATGTGAGAGCTGTCAGCAGTGACTGCTACAAATGCTGCTGCTGAGTACTGCTCCCTCAGCCTTTTTTAAAATCCTAGAGCACTACCTACAGGTAAAAGAATCTTGTGCCACAGACTAGTACAGTTAAAATATTAAAGCTGCAATCAGCATTGGACAGGCCTTTGCACGTGAAGCACGTCAGACAGTGTTGTGTCCGCACTGCAGAAGCCGCAGCTCTCCCGATGCTGCTCTGAACTGACGCTGCACAAAGTACTTAAAAGTCACTTTCTGTGTCCCCTATGTGGTGTAAAAGAGCTCCCAGTAACTTATGTCGCAGTACATCAAGTGTGGAACACACTGAGAAAATGTTATTTAAATTGCATGGTGAGTGTCACACAGGGCTTACGTCCTGTTGCCAGTTGTTGGTTGCGCTATGACTATACCTGAATTGTGGCATGTAGATGTGTTGAGGGCAGGACCATTCTCAGTCACATAAAGTTTGGTACTTATTTGAGAATGTGCAGTGAAGTTGTGTGAAGATACAACAACTTCCTGTGTCTTGGCAAAGCGTGGAACTTTGCTAACTGAAAACTCACAAGCTTCACAACGTAGCATCATCACTGGGTTGAGGCTTTTCTGGGACAGTTTTCAAGTTCATATTGGCAACATACCACAGCGTTACGCATGGCGCAATGACTTGGGTGAATGTTGGCATATGGATGTGTTCAAGGTGGGATATGTTATCATCAAATTTGGAACAGGTGTGAGCATGTACACTTAAGTTATAACAACTTCGATATTCCACTCCACGCCACGGGCCTCCACGGTCGACCAAAACTCACCAAGTACAACGTGTAATCATCAATGGGATAAGACTACACAGCAAAAATTTTAAGTCGCTTGGACTAATACTCTAGGAGGAGTTCATTAAAGTAAGTAGTGTGTAAATCGCCAAATATGACAATTAAATCCAAAATGGCCGGTTGGTTGTTGACCTGCCTGAAATGCCTCCAAAGCATAAACAGAGGACGCTCAATGACCAAACATTCCTGGCACACCACTGTTTAGCTTGTAAATATATTTTATTTGAGGTCCAGTCCACTGCTGTTGAATAAAATACATAAAGCTGCACATGCTCAAATCAGTAACAAGGTGGGCCGCCAGCAATAATATCTGGCCGGTGGCCACATTGCTTTGTTAGCAGAAAAATTAAAAATAAATAAATTGATAGCGGCAGGTGCTGAAACAGATCTCACTTAATCACTCCCTCTTAAGTTAATGTGCCTACAAAATAAAAGCACACGTTTTTTTGCAGCAATGCTTTATGTCGAGTTTATTGAGAGCTTTTACTTTGAAAAGTTCTGAAGAGTCACTGGCTTGCTTGACACACCTCTGAAAAATTGTGATTGGATTCCCCTGAATTTCCTCGGGAAATGAAAATAAGCGTTCCATAGGTTTGTGAATGTGGCTCAAACGCTGGGACGCGCACACACGGCAGCACATGCGTTACTCTGAGCATGTGCAAAAGTGTCCTTGTAATCAATTTGTTAAACAAGGGAGAAAAAAAAAGGCCGCCGGATGCTGGGATCGATCATACTACTCTCCAAACAGGCGTCCCGCACTCTGTCGACTGAGTTAAACGAGTACATGTATAAGCAAGGGTTTGAAATAATTTGACTTTGTTCTGCGCTGCCATGTAACGGCTTGAAAAATATGTGGCCCGATGCCAGACTTATTTGGCGACCTCTGCTCCAAGTCATCACATGACACACTGATGAAGTCTCTAAAAAGCTGTAAAACGCTTTACTTTGGAAGAACATAGCTCCTAAACTAACCACTTTTTTTTAGCAAACACCAAAAAACTTTGCTAAAACCATTCCAACGCTGCATGCTCCAGGATGGAGGCCTAGGCCCTCCCTGTCTCCAGATACTACCTCAGCTGTTCATAAAACCTTTGTGCATTTTTTAGCCCTGTAATGGCCCAAGATTGTAGAGCCAGAAGAAATAATCTCTACGCTGTATCACATCCATGAAGCTGAAATGCTCCCGTCCACCATCACTTTTGATCCAGCAGAAACAGTCACAAGCTGTACCTTTAATGTCACAGCTTCCTGTCCAGCTGTGGAGGCTGCCTCTCCTCCAGACTCTGGAAAGATTAACATCTTTTCTGCAACTTGCAAAAATGGAGTCTGTAGCTGCACATATGCCAGAGAATTTAGCTCTTAAAGTTGAGTAGGTTGGAAGAAAGTTGAGCTTCTGCTCCCATTGAAACCCATTCATTTTAAAATGCATAACAAATATTAATATATAATCAACCATTACAGATGTCCGCAATAAAAGTAATAGCACCCATCTCCTGAACAGGATGTACATTTAGAAATTTCTAGGACAAACGGTGCAGGAGAAAATAGCAGCTTTCACACTAATAATGTTTATCAGATATTATTTCAAAACTCTGGCCAACAGGAAGGACCTAATGCATATCTTTTCCTGTTTCACTTCCTTAAAAGAGAAAATGCAGATTACTGCACGTTATCACTTACCATATTTACCGTAGACTGTTTGGATGGAGAGGACAGCACATCAGACATTGAACTCATTCAGGTGTGGTCTCGCAGCTTTCAAAGGTAAATTTCACTTTTTAAACTTTTGCAGAGGTGATAAGAACGGAAAACAGTCGTCAGGATGCATAGAAAAGACAGCAGTGTTTTATTTGATATGACTGTAGGAAGTGTTATAGTCAAGACTGTCCAAACCGAGACCAAGTCAAGACAGAGTTTATCGAGACCGAGACAAGACCAAGGCTTTTAGGGGCTGAGACCAAGTCGAGACCAAGACCGAGGGAGACCAAGACCACATTACATGACACACAATAAAATGTGGAACGACAAATTGATCTGAAATATCTACACTCCCATTAAAACACCCACATATAAACACTAAGAGCTGAAATCAACGTAAGCATCTTTATTCAACACTCCTTTTCCATGCTTACCATCGCTTTTGTGGGGTGAAAGTCGTTAATGGGAAAAACACATTTTTAATTAGGGTTATTGGTTGCATTTGAAGCAATACGTTTTACATCCAATCAAAGTTAGGATGTTAACAAACAAATCAGACAATGCAGAAGAAATGTATTGATGTTCACAAAGTTATGGTCTTGACTGGTCTTGAAATAAAATCCCAAGTCTTCAATGTCTGAGACCGAGACAAGACCTTGCACCTCACAGCTCAACTGTCACTGAACAATGTTAGACATTAAAAAACCTTCTCACTTTAAATAACCTGATCTCTCAACAGGTTTCACTCTGAAGAATGGAAGATTTCTACATTAACAACACCTCACAGAACCAAAGCTCTGATTACAGCAACATCACCTTTGACTACAATGTTGACAACAGCACCTCCTACTACGATGAAAAAGCTAAATCCATCATGTTTGTGGTGACATGCTTAATCATTAGTATCGGACTTCCTTTGACCCTTGTGGCCATCTATGCTCTTTATTCTATGGTATGTACATAATGACTATGAATATGATTTCTTCATTTATGATCTATATCGTGGTTGTAAAGATGATGATAATCTTGAGCACAATTATTAGCACAGTACATTAAAAAAAAGATTTGAATTTATATAATAATACACAACACACAGCAATCAGGAGAGAAAGAGAGAGAGAGACAGAAAGACAGTGACTTAAAATAACTTAAAATAACTGCGTTACCTCGGTAAATCCAGTGAATATATTTTTAATATCTGTTAACATCTCTATGATGAGCCTATGAAATCCATTTTTATTTTTGCCAAATTCCATGTTTTAATGTTTTTACGATTTTAGCACATTTTGTCATCAGAAAGAGTATGTAATCATATCAATAAGAAAATATTTGAAATTGAATCAATATCAATGAATTTGGTGTGTTACGCAAATATGCATAATGAAATATATATTTAATATTTGTGCAATTATTTATGGGGTCAGTTCATAATGAAGGTAACAGTAGGACATTAAAATACAAACAAGTCCTCCAAACTAAACAACAAAATAGTTTATCCATGCCTCCCAAAAACACACAAATGAGCTTTTTCCAGTACCACAGGCGACTGGACTACTTAGGGTGTACTCACTTTTATTTAGACATTAATGGCTCATTAATGGTGATGTGTTATTCTGAGGGGACAGCAAATTTACACTGTTATACAAGCTATGCACTCACTACTTTAATTTGTAGCAAAGTCTCATTTCTTCAGTGTTGTCACATGAAAAAATATAATCAAATATTTAAAAAAATGTGAGGGGTATAATAAATTTTGTGAGATACTGTGAGTCAGGCGACCTAAGCCACATGACATTAAACATGTGGTTAAGGGTGTGAAACGATTACAGTTTGGTTAGGTTTAGGAAAACGTCATGGTTTGGGTTAAAGGTCCAGTGTGGAATATTTAGGAAGATCAATTGACAGAATTGCAATAAAATATACTTAACTATGTTTTCAGTGGTGTATAAAGACCTTACATAATGAACTGTTGCGTTTTTTTTAACCAAACTGCAGAAGGATGCATTACAAGTTGACTCTGACCACTGCAGCTTGTCAGCATCTTAGAAAGTCTTTACGAAGTCTTTAAACTCACTTGCTGGAACGGTGCCGGTATGTTTCGCTCTTTTGCTGCTTGATGCCTTGTCTGTGAATCACCATTGCTAATTCCATACCAACATGCGTGTTCCAGGTTGAAATCCTAGGCCCTCCCTGTCTCCAGATACTACCTCAACTGTTCATAAAACCTTTGTGCAGTTTTTAGCCCTGTACTGGCCCAGTTGTTCTTTCTGTTCCCCAGCCACCCGTCTACAATTCATCGCTGCGCTCACCTCTCCAGATGCCTCACCTGCGCCCCTCTAGCCCTTAAGATTGTAGAGCTAGAAGAAAAAAGAATCTCTACGCTGTACCACATCCACAAAGCTGTTGTCATTGCTCACTGTCCTACTGCAATGCCCCTCCTGCGGTTACTGTCCCAGATGAGTCCTAGGGCGGGCTCGGGTCTAGTCCGGGTCATCCCTACTCCATCCCAATGATGGGATGGAGTAGGGATTGTGCTCGCACAATGAGAGGGAGGCACTCCTCTTGTTTATCCCCTAACCATGACATCCAGCTGGAAAATAGATACGACATCCTCACCCTCCACGATTTCCGTCCTCTGGTTGGGGAATCCCAGCCTCCTCCTACGTTACCGTAACGGTTACCTGCAATTCAAAATCAGGCTTGGGGCCTGCCACTAACACACTCATCACTTGTTCAAAGGGTCAAAAAGGATTCGAGCAGTCTGTGGCTACCATCTCTATTAACCTCTTGAAACAGACACCTATTTCTAGAAAAAATGCCTAAAATAACCAACCCAAAATGAATCAGGAATAACTCCTCAATCATTCGGCCTAGATGCATAATTATCTCCTTTGATGGGTCAGAAGTTCTAAATAAACCTATTTATTTTGCTATTATAGAATAAATGGAGATGCAATAAAGGAAAATATGATATTTTCATTCTCGCCTGGTAGAAAATCCATATTTTAATAGCAAAATCACCATCAAAACCATCATCCTGTAGATTAATATTCAACTGATTATCTTCTAATACTCCTGGAATACAACTGTAACTGTAAATGTGATGAAAAGAAACTGTTATACAACAGTTATTATACAATTCTTCAAAATATACCAGGCAAATGTCCATGTTTTGGCCATATTTATGTTCACTTGTAAGTTTTCTTCAAAACAATATTCCTGTCCACACAACCACGTTCCAAATAACACAGAGCTTCTAAAACATTGAAATATTGATAAAAACAGTGACTATTCATCAACATTCCTATGACGAAAAACACACCCATGTTTATAGTCCCAGAAGTGGAGAACAGTACTTTCTCTTTGTATTGAGCAGAAAAATTGTTTGATATATTGGATGTCTGTGCAGCTACTACGGGTTTGTTATTAGATGATAAAGACCGCCTGTTCCAAAGCAACACTTCTTCTCTCCTGCGGATTCTGGGAGTAGTATATAGGTGACCGCCAGCTATGTAGCTATGTTATTCTTGACAGCCCCCCGAAGCCAATTACCCTTACCCTAACCATCAGAGGATGTGTGCCTAAACCAAAGTTATTGACCGGTTAAGCCTACAGCTGCGCACATAGGCCTCACGGGCCGACTTGCTAGCAGACGTTACGACCACCAATCCACTAGATGGCGCTGTCGCAAAAGAACTACGGTCCTAGAACTGTGGTCCCATGATTGCGGGGGTCCTGAAACTGCAGACTCCAGTACTGCAGATATAAAATATTGTAATCTGGTGAGAAATGAACCTAACGGCTCAGGGATACACAACTGATCAGAGCTGGGTGTAGGATGAGATGAGAGATATCTGGATGGCAATAACTGCAGCCATGTACAGTAATTACAGAGCTTATGTTGTGATAAAAGCTAATTTAACTCTTGGTGTTTGATGTGTGTTTGGTATGGATGTAAATGGTTGGTTTGACGTTCTAGCTGAGCCTCCTAGCTTCACGGAGGTGTGCAGCATGCATATGGTGACAAAATACTAGTATTGGACATGGATTTCTCTTTTGCATTTCGCGCAAAAATCGATTTTATTATTTATCTGTTTTTTTGAGTGTGTTTTTATTATTGTGTAACTTTGTTCAGCACTTTATAAATAAAATTGACTTTACTTTACTACGCTGAATACGTATGAAAAATAAGTAGCAGTAGTCATCGTCTGGTTTCTTAGAAAACCATACATCCCATCTCTCTCTCTCTCTCTCTCTCTCTTTCTCTTTCTATCTATCTATCTATCTATCTATCTATCTATATTGTAAGTCGTTTTTGGATAGAAGAGTCATGTAAATGTTATACAGACTTTGTGGCTATTTATAATACGTCACCCGACTTTTGTCACCTTTGGGCGTCATGGTGGTGCAGGGGTTAGCACTATCGCCTCACAGCAAGAAGGTTGTCCCGGCCTTTCTGTGTGGAGCAGGTTCTCTCCCTGTCTGTGTGAATTTTCTCTAGGTGCTCCGGTTTCTCCCACCATCAAAAACATGTTAGGTAGGTTCTCCAGTCAGTGCCGTGTGACCTGGCATGGCACCTGGAGTTCGTCACCGGGCGCTGTACAGTGGCTGCCCACTGCTCCCTTCAGGGATGGGTTAAAGGCAGAGCATGAATTTTGCTACATGTATGTGACAATAAAATACGTCATTCTTCACCTTCTTCTTTACTAATCTTTTACGGCCACTAAAAGGTTGCAGCTACAAACAAATGTAGATATGGGTCGTAATAAAGTGCTGAACAAATTACTTATAAAGATGTTTTTCTGGTGAGGACTCTTTCTATATTATTATTTAATAGGGGACAGTTCTCAATGAATGCATTTATACAATACACGTACTGAAAATTGTCCGGTTAAGTAGGTTATCATTTGACTACTGACACATTTTCCCCCATGGATCTTCTGCAGGAAGCACCATATTATGCTGGTCAAACGCAGAGTAACAAGTGGGTCAGAAGGAGTCTACTTTCACATCGGTAGCACTCCTGCTTGTTTTCAAAGCTTCACCAGAAACTTACATAGCTGTATACATTTTTGTATCCAACTTTGAAATGGAATATCTGACTCTGTTCACACAGCCACAGAGTCTACAACAAGATTGTGTCTTGCATCTGCTGGTTGTGCTGTCCTGCTGCAGAAGCTGCAGGACATCTGGCCCTTAGTCTTGTTACTGCAGTGATTGGCCAGTGTGTCACATCTGAGATTTCTGACAGCACAAAGGAGAGTTTGATGAAAAATGCATAAATAGCTCTGACTGCAGCTTGAGGGGGACTTCATAACATGTTTACAACTGCTTGTTTACTTTTACCAATGTTTTCCTGCAGGTGAGAAGGGATCACGTTGCTCCGATCTACGTCATCAACCTTCTAATTTCTGACCTCCTTCAGCTCTGCTACATGATCTTTGAGGTGGCAAACATTAAGGATGGGAATGTACGTAAAATCTTCTCTTTTATTTACTACTCCGGTCTGATTGCCAGTGTTGGGTTCATGGTCTGCGTCGCCCTGGAAAGGTATCTATCTGTCTATCCAGTATGTGTGGAGCTCCTTCTGTGTCTGAACATTATATTAGTTTATAACTCTAAAGCTCCTCAAAGACTTTGTGTCCATCTTGTATTACAGGTATTTGGTCATCGTCCACCCGCTGTGGTACCGCTTCAGACGAACCATCAAGACCTCTGTGGTGGTCTGTGTCCTGGTTTGGGCCCTTCCTCTTGTCTTTTTCATTAGTATATTTCTTGAGACTTATGTGGAATCCAACCAAGTCTTCATCATCATCATCCTCCTTCCCTTCCCACTGTTAATATTCTTCCTGGTTGGGACCTTCAGAGCCCTGTCTGCTTCCATCTCGGTCCCCTCTGATGAAAAACGACGAATAGTTGGAGTTTTGTTGCTGGTACTGCTTATTTACACACTGCTGTACCTGCCCACCATCATTATGATCCTGGTAGACCACTCGAACGATACCCTCTTCTACCTGTCTTTCATGTTAATTAAGTTGAGTCCTCTTGCAGACTTAGTCCTGTATGTCTTCATGAGGAGGGGGACCATAGACAAGCTTTTGGCCTCTGTGTGTTGTTGCAGAATGGACAGCAATGAAATCAGCAGTTCATCAGTATGAATGATGACAAAATTTCCACAGTCAGCTTCATGTAGGCAGAGAAAGAGGGAGAGAGAGAAAGGGGAGGAAACAGGAGGAGAAATGGAGGAGACGAGACAGAAATGGGACTTGCTAATCTTTTTAATTTAGTTGTTTACTTTTTGTTCATTGTTAATAATGTATGTCTACTCAAAATATTGTTTTTTTTTTGTACAAAAAGGAAACTACTTATTTTGTTTATCTTTACTTAAAACTGAAAAACCTCCACTCTTCCAATCCAATAAAAATCAAAACTGTGAATGTTTGTCTTTGACCAACTTAGTGAATTAAAACCTGCAAATGTTCAACAGAATCTCTGCTGGTTGACAAATCTCTATTGTCTATATGAACATAAAGCCCAAACTGCTGCTACCAGGGAGGCATCCTGCATGTATGTAAACTGCTTGTACACTGTATGTTTCCCCTTTTTAAACGTGAGCTCATTATTACCTGAGATCCAACAATAACAAGCAGATTTCTCAAACTGTCAGACTGTGTCTTTAAATAACTTGTCTCTCTGCAGGGGACACTTTGCTAACCAACAAAATGCATTTTTGGAAGGTCAACTGCTAAAAGCTTAAAAGAATGACTTGATAAGCTGTACAGTTTATACAATTATTATGATAAAGTATATCAATTAGAATTTAATTAATCATACATGTTAAAAATTTATTATAATATATTAAATTCAATATTAATTATTTCAACTCCATTCAGAGCTCACAGATATTAGATAGATAGATCAGTAATTTCCTTCTCCTCAGACAGAAATACTGATCCCTTCCAAACTAACATCTTATATTTTATGCTGGATGTCTGACTGTGATAGGATTTCATTAACTCTGCTCACTTTTCTGAAAAGGTTTTGGCTAAACTGATGGATAAAAAACATTCACATTGACATACAGTCCTACCTGGAAGTCTGCTCATGTGAAGACAGAACTGAAAAGCCACAAGCTAAATGGCCTGTTGTAATGTGAGCTGCAGTAAAGGTTTCAATCCAGCTTGAATGGCAGGCAGCTTTCATATTTTCATGTGTGTAGATTAACAGGTTAAAGGAATGTCTTTTCTTGTAAACCAGCTTCAATAAACTCACACTGTGTAAAATATTGTCCAGTAGGCCAGAGGAGTACCTGTACCAGCTCAACATCAGTAGTCTATCTCTTGTAATTTACAGTCATTCATATTCATTCAGGAGATGCTTTTGTCTTAAGTGACGTTGAAATAAAAACGTTGGGTTGAGTTTAACCCTACTTGCTTTTGTCTTTGTGTAGGCCTATATTATACATACACACACACACACACACACACACACACACACACACACACACACACACACACACACGCCTATATATAACAGAAGCATGCTTTAGATGATAAAAACAACTAACGTTACCCAGAAGCCCCTTTTCTCAATCTGCTCACGGACTGCAGCCACCTCTATTGTTCAATTTAAATAAAGCTCCATTTAAATCACATGACAGATACATTTTGGCAGGTTAAAAAATACAATTTTAACTTTTGCTAGTAAAGAATAAACCTCTCCATATTCACGCTGGTTATGATCTAAAGTATACACAACATAAAATACTTCCATGCCATCATCTTTGCATTATGGAGGGGGTTATATAATGGTAGACTGCATGTCCAGCCTCCTAGGACAAGTAGCATTTTTTTTTTGTTTGTTATAAAAGGCGCTATTTAAATGTAATGCATTATTAAGTTAGGATGATTATTGTTCACCATTTGAGCAGGGGGAATTATCACAATATCCAAAGGCTATCATTTGCAGTATTATCTACTAGTGCTGCATTCAGTTCAATGCACATATCGAATCCAAAGTCCAGCTTCCCCGCGGCCAGTGGCCTTTTTATATACAGTCTTATGCCAGGGGCGCACTGCCTAACAGAGGGTGCTTAAACGCGCCATTACCATTGGTTATTTGCGGGAGATTTACTGATTTCCAACCATCAAAGGAGCTCGTGAACGCAGCACAAAAAACAACGCATGTGCTGTTTGTGCTTGAACCTGATTGGTCCGTTTCGAACTCAGACCGCGGCGGTGTGTTGTTTTGTTTAGTTAGCTTAACGTTAGTTAGCACACAACAGAACATCCTTCTGCCTGTGCACTTAATGTCCCAAATACAACTATCAGGTAGGCAATGTTGTTGAGTAATAACACAGTGTGAGTGTCGTTGATTTTATTTTCCACAAAACTAAAGTTAAACGGACATTTGTTAAACTATGTTAGAAGTTGACAGGTGCGGCTATATTCAGCTAACTAGCTAACTAGCTAGCAGGTGGCTTAACATAACTTACTGTCCAAAGGAAGGTAAAGGTAACGCAGCAGGCGAGCTAGACTTGCAAGTTTGTCTTTGGTGTAACGTTAGAGTAAAAAGCAGGCCAAGTGTGGTTACGTGACCGTTTTCATTTTTGATACTGTTGCTTTACTTTTTTGCAGGATGATGGATTCATGTCTGAGCGACAAAGACAAACAGGTTGAAGATTTGAAGAGATATCTCTCATCAGAGTTCAGCACCTTACCAGACTCACAGGTAATCCCGGTAATGTCAGAGAGGCGCATTTACATTGGTGCCATTATTTTAAATCAATAAGAACACACTTTATTTGTAACTCACTTTGTATTTAAACAAATCCCAAAGTGGCACAGGATTAAAAAAAACAACTGATAAGTGCTAAAATAAAATACATAGATGGCACAAAAATAAAAACAATTAAGCAAAGAAAAGTCCAGAAAGCTTTGAAGTGTTAAGGCCGCTTTTATAAGCATGCACAGACTGTGGTGTCCTCAGGGAGAGCATGCCACAGACTGGGAGTGGCTGAGCAGAAAGCCCCATCTCCCATCATATGGAGCTTGGTCCTGGGATCAATACTTTTTTGGGTATGAGGAATTTGTCCCCCATCACTTACATTGAAAGTGCATTAGGATGAGAAGGCAAAATTACAGGAAACCCCTCTTCTGTGTTCACATGGGCGCACCTGACTGTTGTTTTAAGATCGACTTGAACCTGTTCTAGACCACGGTGGCCTCAAGCATCTTCCATCGTGCACAAGGTGTAAAGTGGTGACAGCTAGTCCACCTCTTGGATTGAAATGAATTCCCACAGAATTTTTAACCTGCTAGGGAGATGGCACACTTTTTAATTGTATGTTTATTCTATTTGTTCAGACACCATCTATAACTGTTGAACTCCCAAATGATGGTTGGTTGTTATGTTTTCAGTTATCTAGTGGCCATCTGCATATGGCCGCCCACCCAAAGTCTAGGTTTTGCTTTAGGTTTCTATCTGTTAAAAAGTAGTTTGTCCTTGCCATTGTTGCCAATTGTTTACTCATGCTGGGAATTGTTGGGTTTCTGTAAACAATATTGTAAAGAGTCTAACTAGACCTGCTTTACATGATTTAAGTGCTCTGGGATAGCTTCTGTTATGATTTGGTGCTATATAAATAACACTTAATTAAATTGAATAAAGTGAAAATGTTTCTTACCAAACGATCTCTCACAGCTAACCCATATTTGTTCTTCAACCTAATGCCTTCCTTTTACTTTCCTCCTGATGTTTTTGATTAAACTCTGATGTGTTGTGCAGCATTCGAGCATCGAGGACAGAGAACACCTACAGGTCTACCTCCGTATCCGGCCCTTTTCCTCAGCAGAGAGTAATAATGGAGAGTCGCAGGTAAATTAAAATATATTAATGTGCTAATGGGAATTGCTAAGAAATTGATACCATTGTGCTTTGTAGCTGCTTGTTTTACTTGTCAAGTAATGACTTAATGAAAACAGTCTTTTCTTTATGTTTCAAACTTTCTGCTGTAAAATCCTGTAAAGAGAAAATACAGAATCATTCTAAGAGTGTCTTCTTTTTGTTTTTAACAGGACTGTGTTACCATCGAGCCTCCTGACACTGTTCTTCTTAAGCCTCCTGGCTTGTCCCTCTCAGCGCGGCTCAGCACTGACAAATCCTTTCTACAGACTGGGCAGCGCTTTCAGTTCTCTCAGGTTGGTGTTTCCTGGTAGATAAGAAAGCCAAACAAGTTTAAAAGTTTCCTTTCTAATACTTATGTGTTGATGTTTTCTTATTGTTTTGAGTATATCGTCAATTGTATACGATCCATTTGAGTCTTTGTCCATTCAGTTTTTAAACTGAAATCAAGCTCACAGGCCAGAAAATGTTAAAGACATCCAGATCTAAAAGATGGAGTGTTTTTCATGATTACCTTTTACACTTTATTGATAAGCTTTTTTTCTTCCTTTTTAATAGGTGTATGGTCCTGAGACAACGCAGAGAGAGCTGTTTGAAGGCACAGTAAAAGATTTAGTGAAAGATGTTTTCGAAGGGGGAAACTCGCTGGTTTTCACATATGGAGTCACCAACGCTGGGAAGACCTTCACATTCTTAGGTCTGTTCCACTCTCCCATAGATTATATAAATAATAATAATGACTGAAAGTTTATTTAGAGTTTGGACTATTGTTCTTCAGAAGAGGATGTTTGTAGATCAGATGCAGGACAACTTTTTTTTAGCAGTAGCTTTTTGCCACCACACCCTGTATAACAGGTAACAGGTGTGTCTGATCAGTGTAATAGCCACATGGAGTTAAATGTTTTTCGGTATAGCTCAAGCTGTACAATCTTATTGTAGTAAAAACTTTACCCTAGAAAGGTGTCATGACTTTGTTATTGTAGATTTTGCCTGGTTTGGTCCTACATTCGTAGCTTGCCTAGCGACCTGGCTAATGGTCAGGAGATCTCTGAAGTCAATAATTGTTCTTGTGCAGCTGTTGGCCTTAATCTTAAAATGAGAGTGGAATAGAAGTGGCCTAACAGAAACGCTCTTGTCACTCCAGGTCCTGATGCCGATGCTGGTATCCTGCCCAGGTCTCTCGATGTCATTTTCAGCAGTATTGATGAACAGGTTTTCAGCGGGATGAGCATCAAACCTCACCGCAGCCGAGAGTTCATAAGGCTCACCAGGGAGCAGCAGGCTGAGGAAGCAGTGTTCAAGAGAAACCTCTTCAGACAACTTAAAGAGGTAACTTGTCTGCCCGAGGCGCTTTATCGCCCACCCTCCACCCAACTTCGAAATTCTGGGTTTTCCGCCCAACTTCGAAATTCCGGGTTTTCCGACCTGAATTTTTACTGTCAGGCAATCTGTCTGTATTGATTCAAACAGGTGTGTATTTATTCTGTCAGAGGGGCGTCAGACTGACAACTAAAAACTGTGGCTGAAGCGTCACCTGCGTAGGCAAGACCTTTGGTGTGTGAAATCAGAGGGTGCAAAGGAGAGACTGATTAGATGGTGACATGACACAGCTTACTGTGACTGTTGAAAAAAGATGTGTTTGAATGTTTTTCAAATGATTTGTTTTGGAAAGAATTATTATGCGCAGGAAGTAGGGTTGTTCAAGACACTGTTGGACAATCTGACAAACCCCTTCAGAGCTCTAAAAGTTCATGTAGCCACTTACACTCATGAATTACTACATAATGTATGTCACTAGTAGGCCTGTCATTTTCACTTTGCTTAAGGCTTGTGAAGTACAAGTGGACATCACTCTCCCCAGACATAAACTCTTAATGCCTTTTAATATTAAAGCTCAGGAGGAGCTGTAATTATTCTTGTGAAGCACTTTGCTCTTACTTGTGACATTACTCTTAAAAGTACTATTTAAATAAAATATTGAAGAACTGTCATTTATGCATTTTTAACTTTTTTTCCCCTCTGCCCTTTTCAGAGCGAGAAGAGCAATGCCGGCCCGTTGAACTCAACCAATAAGACTCTCCTTGAAGGCAAGATTTAGTTGTCTTTTATTATGAAAAAATAAACCTGTGCACTGAGATAATGTTTTACTAATTCTGACTGACAGCACTGTCTTTATATACAAAATGTACTGCTTAACCCCAAGGCAGGAATGCAGATTTACAATTCACATCCCTTGATACTGCATATACTATAGCGTGTGTTGCTACTACAGTGTGATTATTTTAAGTTTGTCTCTGTTGCAGGCCCCTCTATGCTGCAGACGACTGCAGCAGCAGAGGACAAAATCAGCCTGGAGGTGGAAGCGCTAACAAAGTTCTCTGTGTGGGTTTCTTTCTGTGAAATCTACAATGAAAACATTCACGACCTCCTGGAGGTGGTGCCCAGCGGGGCCCCGAGGAGGACTGCACTGCGCCTGTCACAGGACGTCAAGGGCAACGCCTTTGTGAAAGGTTTGAAGGGAGGGCG